GTGGCAGGACATGCTAACCCACACTTTGGCTGAAACATATCAAGTGTGGTTGGCTTCTGAAGCACCCTAGTATAAGCCAAACATCGCATCCACAAAATGCTCCATTTCCCCGTGGCAAGCTGCCCCTGATTGCAATCCATTTTCTGATTGCAAAATTTAAAAAAAAAAAAAAAAAAGACAGTTAACACCAAGGTGCCAGCAGTTACCAACCTCAGAAGGAAGGGCATTTCTGGGCTCGCAATATCTGCTTCCCTCAAACCACGCAGAGTAGGCCACTGGGTGCTGTTAAACAAGGAAAGAGAGTGCTGGCAGACTCTTTCCAGGTGCCTTAAGGACGGGTCTCCTGGGAAGTCCGCTCAGCTGTGGAAGCACAGTGTCAGGCTAGTGGCAAACACCAAGCTTCACAGGAGAGCTCCTGACTGATTTGACATGTAAAAATCAATATCACGCTAGTTAAAGCAGACACCAGATCCCTCCACACATATGGTATGGGAGTTTCAATGTAGGCTGTAACCAGACTGGAAGATTTAAAATTTCTTAGTAAAGTTATAGAGTAAGCGGTCAGAAGCTAGATATTGAAGAGTCTATAAATGTCACACACACATCACTACCAGTGTCCTATAAAGCATGGAGTATGAACCAAGGCGACAGAGTCACAGGCAGGTCTCTTATGACCTTCATTACTGAAGGCTTTGCAAAACTCTCCAATCTGCCCATCCATCCCAAGTTATAGAGGGCGCCCACGGGCCTCCACCTCTCCACTCCTCTGGGAAAGTGCCCATTTGGGGAAGTTTAGGGACATTCTATTAGTCAACTTTTTGTCCTCATAACAGCATACTCGAGACAATCAAGTTACAAAGAAAAGAGGTTGACTTAGGGCTGCAGTTTTGGAAGCTTAAGCGTGTGTTTATTTGGCCCCATTGACCTGAGCCTGAGGTGTGCTAGCACAATACAGAGAATGCGGGAGGCAAAACAAAGGCCCTCCCTCCTACAGATTACCCTACCTACCAATAAAGCCACTCTGGGAACCACGTCCACACCTTTACAAACTCTCTCTCTCTCTCTCTCTCTCTCTCTCTCTCTCTCTCTCTCTCACACACACACACACACACTCACACACACAGCCCAGCCAAGCTGGCTTTAAGCTTTCTACATAGCTAAGTGTAGTGGTTTGAAGGACGATGAGACCTATAATAGCCTCAAATACTTGAATACTTGGTTCACTCCCACCCCACCCCCACCCCCACTGGTCAACTGTCAGGGACAGATTAGGAGGTGTGGCCTAGTTGAGAAAAACCTGCCACTAGGGGTGGGCTCTGCTCCCTACTGGCTGTTTTATGAGATGTGTGAGCTTTCAGCCCTACCATCATGGACTCTAACCCTCTGGAACTGTAATCCTAATGGAATGCTTATTTTTTTTTTTTTAAATAAACCACCTTGGTTATGGTGTTTTGTTACAGCAATAGAAATCTTAATTGATAAACCAAAGATGACCTTGAACCCTTGATCCCCCTACCCCCTTCCCCCCTGCGTCCTTTTCCTGAGGTTGAAAAGCAAGATGCTGGCAAGCAGAGAAGCAAGGACAAACAGAACTAAACCAGCGAGGATCTGACTGCATTGCCAGGGAAATGCTTCCTGTAGCTTCAACTTCTTTCCCGTGAGTTACTCCAGAGTCTTCTCAGTCAGACAGTAAAAGGCATTAATCTAGTTTGAACTGGATTTCTGCTTTGTGGCAACAAAAGTCTTAAACACACCAATGAATAGGAAATTTGAAGTAAAGCTAAGTTACAACAGTCATTCAAGGGGCGAGGAGTCCTCTCTTCTTTGTCTTATACTGTACCACATATAATATTAAGACTGTATTAAATATATGTACATTCAGAAAAGCTCAATATAAGGGGACAAGAAAGGACTGCATGCCACGAACGTAAGTTATGAAAGAAGATATAAAGCTAATTGTTTCTCTAGCTCTAATTCTTCGTGGGTTTTTTACCTGCCAGTGGATATGTGCATAAATAAAGCCATCAATGCTGAAAATGGGAAACTTCCTTTGAAGCTCCACAGTCCCCACTCTGACCGCCATTTCTCACAGTACAGATGCTCTCTGAGTCGTGTGACTTAGAGTCTGCTTAGTCTGGGGGTGGGATGTTTTTATTTATCTGGAAGTTCTTTGAGACAATAAAACTTTTTTTTTTAAATGGGGGGGGGATGACGGGGAGTCAGCTGATACCAGTCACCTGGAGTCACTGAGCAAACACAGCTGCCAGCTCTCAGCTCCCAGGCTCCTCCACATGACAGGACTCAGCTCCAGGTGTGGGTCTACTTGACTTCCCCCCTTCCACTCTTCTCAGGTTTCCGCAATGAGACCCTGCACACCTCTGCTGGATCACCCGGGTGCACTTGGTTCCTTGTCCACGTTTCCCAAACATGCCACAGAGAGTGAATTCCAGGTCCGAGGAACAACTCACGGGCAGGACACTCTCACAGTAGTGAGAGACTGTGGTTTCAGGTTTGATCCTGAGCTCCGGGATACATGTAGGCAAACCCTACTGCTGAGTAAATTGAGCGAGCTTGGTCAAAGTCCAGATTGCTGTTGTTGGCTTGAAGAGCATCCAACTAGTCCTATAAATTCACTTATCCTGAACTGCACAAGCAAAGGGAGGCTCCTGAAATTTGTCCTGGTGACTTGATCTGTCTTTTTTTTAACTGCTTTTTTTGCATACAATATGCAATTGTTTATTTATCGACCTATTTATTTATTTTTTATTTTTTGAGACAGTGTTTCTCTGTAGCTTTGGAGCCTGTCCTGGAACTAGCTATTATAGACCAGGTTAGCCTCAAACTCACAGAGATCCTCCTGCCTCTGCCTCTCGAGTGCTGGGATTAAAGGTATGTACCACCACCATCTGGCACCATTTTCCATTTCTAAAAATAAAAAAAGGTGTTTATTTTACAAGTGTTCATCTATAAGTAGAATGTGTACCTTGGGCATGTAATGCTCGAGGAGGCCAGAAGAAGGTGCCATATTTCCTGGAACTGGAGTTACAGATGGTTATGAGCCACCTTATACATGTCTGGAACTGAACCCTGGTCCTCTGCAAGAGCAGCCAGTGCACTTAACCACTGAGCCACCTCTCCAACCCCACATTGCACTGCTTATCATGTTTCTGCTTATCACACAGGGAATAAAGGAGAGATGAGAAGCCCTTTACTGCAGCACTTGCTACCTGGGATGCTATTGATTTTTATCTGATCACTGAACTATGCTCTGCCCTTGAGTGCAAAGACTACATCTTACTGAATTTGTCCCTGCAGGCTTTAACACAGTCCTTGGCATAACAGGCACCTGATATGCCCTTATACAAATGACTAAACTCCACGGGGGTGGGGAGGCGCTCACTTCTCAAAGTGTGATGTCAGCAGCAGTAGCAGCATCGGGAACTGATGCTCGGACCCCTCCCTGGAACTGATGCTTTCTAAGTTAAGTTTCAAAAGTGTTGCTGCAGAGAATATAGGACCCAGAAAAAGTCTGGAAGCCTTCTGGGGGACATGACGAGATACAACACAAACAAAACTTCTCCACTGTGGCCCAAGGCAGAATCAATCTGTCCAGGGAGAGTTCAGAAGCAGTGTGAGGTCTCAGACTAGATGGAACAGTGCCACACCTTGGCCTTGGTGAGACTGAGGGAAGGGGACGGGGACCAGAAGTGCAGGTGAGAGATGAGGAGTTGAAGTGGAGGGTGTTGGTGGCAGAAGGCTGGAGCCACCCTGCAGAGCCAGCAGCTGATGGGTGTGAATAAAAGAGAATTTAGGGGATGAGAGGGTTAAAGCTAGGAGAAGGAATTTCTGTGAGATTCAGGGGAGGCAGAGGAACCAGGTGATGCCCTATATGAAAGATTCTCAGGATCCTTTGCACCGCACAACATTTAGGTCACACGGAAATGTGACATCTCCCACCTTTAAGCTGGAGATCATGTTTACATTTAAGATTTGATCCCGTTCCGGGATGAGAGTCGCAGGTCCACCCTTGTAAGGCAGACAAACTAGACTCCACAGATGTGGTAATGGAAATAATAAATTAACAGTGTCACTTTGGTACTTAAATGAATATTGGGTTTGGGCCAGTGCCTGCAGGAAGCTTTTGCAAGAACGCCCTAAATGATTTCCACCCGCAAACAGTTCCAGGAGTGCTTAATAAGTAAACTGGGCGATGATAACGGCGATCCAAGGAGCAGCAGCTTCCATCCGGTTAAGCGAACGTCCCCAGAGAACAATAACACCGAGTTTGCAGAGTGGCCAGCTGCAGCTTGCTACTGTAAGGCTCCTCCGCCACAAGCTCCTCACCGCCCATCCCTCATGCACATCCCGAAAACCCTATCGCCCTTTGCAATTCTTTTGGTCCTAAACCCGGCAGTTTAGGGAAAAGCATGATGAGACCGAGCCCTGGTGGCTAGGACTCCTCAGGAAAGTCACAGGAACCAAGTAGCTCCCTCCAGGAGCGGGTGCAGAGCGGATCTCCGCATAACTGCTGCAGGCGGGCTTCCACG